TATGTGTTTAAAAAATAAAATAAAATATTTGAAAATGTTTTATGCCGATCATAAGCGCAATTAAATTCTAATATGTATAGCACAAAATCTTTTAAAATTTTAACTTTTAGGGGTTAATTAAGGGTTTTAAAAATACATAAACACTAATAAAAAGGGTAAATAATGCACTTTATTGATTTACAAAACAATTTATAGAACCTGTAAATGTTAATATAAAAAATAATTTTTTGTGCTATTCATATTAGGATTAAATTGCACATATCACAGGCATAAAACATTTTCAAATATTTTATTTTATTTTCCAAAAACATGGGACTCTATGGCAGAATTCACCATTTTCAAAGTTAAACTGTAAGAAGGCATGCGATATATTTTTAATTATTTTTTGATATTAGTGAAAAATAGTATTCCATATACCATACCCCTAACTCCATATCATTGTAACATAAGTAATTTTTGCGCTGACTATGGGTTCAGCATATCATCCAATATCACAGAATATTCTTGTTTTGTCATGGCTACCTCATAATGAACTTTAAGTGTGCCAGAGTATAGATTTTAACTACAAGTATTAAGCAAGTTATTAAACAATCTGTCATCTCGGTTTTTATTGAATATGTTTATAATAATACAATTGTATCGCCAAGCAATTATTATAAATTTTTATTTTAAATTAAAAAAATAAACTCAAGTATTTCATAACTTTTATAAATTTATTTAAGTGGCATACGCATTTGGATATCAATATATCATAAATATTGTACAAATGTCAAACTCATAAATTTAATATCTGATGTTAGAAAGCAAATTGAGGTTTATATATAGGCTAAAAATACTTTATACTTTACTCGAAAGCAATGACAAATATTTAAATTTTTAGCCTATACATAAACCTCAATTTGCTTTCAAACATCATATATAATAATTAATCATAAAATTATGGTATTATGTAATATATAGTAACGAAATTTAATATGTGGAAAATTACCACATAAATTATTTATAAGAAAAATTTTGTAATTTTAATTTTAAAAATTTATTTATGATTTAATTAACTATTAAATATTAAAAAGTTTAGTAAAATGAGTAAAGTATGAGTTGTTTTGCTGATAGTTTGAAAAGTTTTTTGAAACGCTTTTTGCGTTTAAATGAATATAGTTTTGTAATGCAGTCGTGAATTGATGTTTCGAAAACTCAGTTAACTGGTTTAACTTTAAATACACTTGTTCATTTGAAAAACAAACTGTAAAATACACTCAAATGTTTTTGTCGTGTTTTGACTCATAACTTACAAACAAAATTTTATTAATATATTAATGACAATGAGTGACACGAATAGTGCACTGAAAGTGTGCACAAATTATATGATATTTTGTGCGCATTTGTGTTGTCCTTAAATACACAATATTTTGTGATTATTATATGTGCGGTGTGTTTGTGTGGGTGCGAGTGATGGCTATTCTGGTAGTCCACCCATTTAGGCCTTACTGTTGACCTCCAGTTCCCATACACTTGGTATGCACTGATGTCCGCGTATACCGGACATACATTTGGTATTCATTTATAAATAGAGAATTAGTGTTAAATAAAATTAAAAGCATTTGGAGTTTGTGTTTATGTTTCGTATGAAACATACATTTATTTAATGTAAACTATAATAAAAGTTTTAGAAATTGTATCATTCCTTAGAAAAACTTTATATTTTAATTCACATATTCTTTACAAACATAAGAATTTATTTATTATGAGAATCAGGATACTTATTATAAGGATTTTAAGTGTATTTTAAGATTATATAAATCGGATAGTTTATACAAATAATAATCTCAGCATGCGCCTGTTATTAAATGTTGTAAGGACATTTATCAGTATTTAATATACAGTACATGTAGAAGTTTTTGTGTAGCATGATGAATTCATATCGTTATTATATCATTATTTGATAAAATTATTGATTTAACAACATTTATATAAATTTCATTTCGTAATTTGTATTTCAACATTATTATTGCAGTACTATAGTTAAACTTATTTATAAAAATTTTCAGTTCATTAAAATATTATGAAAATATATGACACGTAACATAGTAGTACTGTATTAATATACTATATCTGATGTTAGAAAGCAAATTGAGGTTTATATATAGGCTAAAAATACTTTATACTATACTCGAAAGCAATGACAAATCTTTAAATTTTTAGCCTATATATAAACCTCAATTTCCTTTCTAACATCAGATATTATATTATAAATATCTTGAAACTATTTTCCCAAAGTTAACCTCAATTAATCAATAGTTTTAAATATGATATATAAGCTAATTATTCTCATTTATATCACAGACTACTACTAGTTATTTAGTATTATAAATTAGTACTGTATACGAATACAGTATTGAATGGTATTTGTATGCAGTGGTGTTAAGCATTGTACACAATATATTTACCATGAAAGCTAAACTAAATACCAAAATAAATATACCACCAAATAAATACATTTTTAATAAAGTCGAGTGTTCATCAAAAGTTAGAAATAGTAGTATTTCTAATCCGGGTGTAATTATATAATAATTTATATAAAGGATGTATTTCATAAACTCATTAAGTTTATGCGTTATAATACACACTGCATTATATTCACCAATGTCCTCCATAAGTTTAACACTATTATTAAATCGTGTGTTTTGTCTGATTTTATCGTATACTTCACGGTATTTATACGTGAGGTACGACACTGTAGTGAATGCACCAATAAATCCAAACCACACCAAGCTAGAAATTTGCTCAATTAATACATACACACATAATTGCCATTATTACACCCACTAATGGGTGCCCAGTGTCGGGGTCCAAATAAGCCAGTGCCGCGATTAGCGAGGAAACTACCGATAGCATCGCGGCTACAATATAAAATAATTGAAACATGCAATATTTAGTGAGCATGCTAAATCGCAAATTTAGTTTGCGATCATTTTTATCATTCAAATTTGGATCCAATCGTTTGTGTTGAAAATTATAGTAAAAGGTGCATGGGTATAATGTTTGTCGCAATTCTTGGTATTGAATGGTGGCGCTCACACCTAATATTGCCAAACACACAATGAATATGAAACACGATATTAGCCGTCGATTGCCAATGATATAGTTGGAATCGCATAGTAAATAATTAACTAGGTCATTAGACTTATTCAACGCAGATATTCCATACCTTAACGCCACGAGCAACGTGATAAACCGGGTAAATGTGACCAAAATTGCCCGTCTGGTCCGAGTTACGCCATTCACTTATTCATCAAACGTATGAATAGTTATCAATGTTTTTGTGATAAATGTTTGAAACCTATTCACAGCCAGTGTGACCAACTCAGGTTTTGTCATTAGTGGACATTTTGATAAAATAATTGAATAAATAGAGGACAAATAGTGGACAACATATTTTATAGTGGAATTGAATTACAATTTTTTTTGAAAATATTTTTCAGCTAATCTCGCTGAATTTATGACTTGTTTTGTCATCAATGACTCATTAGTTGTTTACTTATTTTTCTATAAATTTATTGTAAATAAAATATAATTTAAATACATTATAATGTATTTTATTGTGATTATAATTTGAATTTCATTTTACATAGCAGTTTTACCCTTACATTATTTTTCTAAATAAGGGATTTTAATCATTTTAACAAATAAAGGACATTCAATGTCCACTATTTACTCCTCAAAGGACACTGGACAAACACCTCAAATAGTGGACTGTCCACTGAAATAGAGGACAGTTGGCCATACTGTTCACAGCTATTGACGGATCGGTGTTTGCGTTCAAAAAGTCATTGAATTTATTTTTGACAAACAATTTCAAATTCTTGTACAATTTGAGTACAATTTTCAACCTCGCAAACATTTTTGTGTACTAAATATTTTACCACCACTTATTAATGGTAGAGTATTACTGTATATGTAAATTATATATTCAATGAGATTATTTTATAACATTTATAACTTTATCTAGTTCGTTTGGTTTTTCTATGATAGTAATTATACTACTAGTGCTGTACTTCATACTAAAGTCAGTTGATATTTAATATGTTATGATATTTTATAGATATTATTGATTTTACTGCTGTAGTATCAATCAATATTATGACCTAAAAATTGCATAAAGTTTTTATAATATTAATATGAAATTATTATATTAGTGCACATAATACTAATGTATTATTCAATTGTATTACCAAACAATAATTATAAATTTTATTTCAAAATATTGCTTGAAATAACCTGAAATATTTCATAACTTTTATAAAGTTAATTGATATTCAATATGTTATGATATTTGAAAGATATTGATTTTACTACTGTACCGTAGTATCAGTCAATATTATGACTTAAAATTTATTGCATAGTTTTTATAATATTAATATGAAATTATTATATTATGGCACATAATACTACTGCATATTATTACCAATCGCTCAATTGTATTTCCCAACAATTATTATGTTTATTTAAAAATATTTTTTGTAATAAACTAAAATATTTCATACCTTTTATAAATACGTGGCATATGCATTTACAGTAGATACTATATCATATAAATATAATCAATATGTCAAACTCATAAACTTAATTACATAATAATAATTAATCATAAAATAATGGTATTATTTAATAAATTATATTATAATGACATTTAATGTGTGCAAAATAACCACATAAATTATTTATAAAAAAATTGTAATTTTAATTTTAAAAATTTATTTATTAATCAGTTAATTAATTTTAAAATATTACACTAAAAAGTTTAGTAAATTATATGAATTTTTTTATTATAAAAAATAAGGATTTTAAAATTTTAAGATTATATAAATCGGAAAGTTTATACAAATAGTAATCTCAGCATGCACCTGTCGTTAAATACACGTTTTAAACAATAATTATCTTGTTTATTTATAATAATCTACTTTTAACATATCCGTTAAACTTATATTATATAATCATCTGTTTCAAAAAATAAAATCAATTTTAAAAATCATATAAATTAATAATATAGAATCATATTTAATTTTATACAATTTTGTTAATATAATTTAGTTATAAGCATGGTAACCCTAATACTAAAATCATTATTAATAGTTTTCATGGCAAATATGGTTGCCGCTGATGATGATGCCTTAAATGCAACTAGGTCAGCCATAAAAGCCATGATTGAAAACGTGGCAGATTCATCCGGACATGTTTACGGGGCAAAGGACAGTAAGGGTCGGTCCATGGATTGCATCAAAATCATAGCCAACCCGGAGGTGAAGGGGTTTATAGGGGTCTACCATTCCTATGAGAACGGCATTGCCTACTCCCATATGGCTACCGCTGATAACGTGTTGGGCAAATGGACGTGGATTAGGGCCATTGGTGGACCGGGAATTCAGGTAACCAGATCATTTAACCTACACAAATGCTACTATAAAAATGCCTGGGCCATATAAAAAATAAACTAAAATTGTTCTTGCATAATTGTAAAAATAGATTTTTAAAAATTATTTGATCTTATATTATTACAAAATGAAAATAATTAATCTAGATAAATAGTATATTAAAAATTAGTTTTATTTATTATTTATATATAGTTGTAGTACACTAAACAAAATTAACCTAACTTATTTAACATCAATCAAACTGATCAAAGTTAGCTAACTAAAATATATTAAATTAACAAAATGAACATTGTATTATTATTATTACCAGGGTGCAAATTCTAGTGCAACTCAGCCTACAATAGCCGTAGCTGAGGACGGAGGGTTTGCCGTGGCCTGGGAACAGGAGCCTGTGAGGCACCTAAAATTTTCGTACTACAAAAACTGGGATGACCTTGTTAGTGGCCACGTTTCCAAACAATACGACGCACCCCAAACACTATCGAAATGTGCCGAGGGCACTCCACACTTTTACTACGCCAGTAGCACCTACCTTGATGTGGGACACCATTTCTACAACAACTGCGACACGGACAGGGAGGCACGGGGTAGTTTGGTAAATTTTTCAACATGGACAACCCATATTCAAACTCACCTAAGTAATAGTGTCCGTACATCGGGTCAAATTGGTGGTAATATAGGGGACAGGGATTCCGGGAGCTTCAGGGGTCACGACTTTATGGTGATAGAAGCCCAGAAAATGAAAGGTGATTTTGGTACCTGGCATATTTATTTGTACGATGCCGAGATTGACCAAGCTCAAGAGTTGAATGTGAAAACGCATAAGAGTAGCAAATCGTTGGCTAACCCCACGATAACTCATTTGTTAATTAATGGAAAGCCAGCTATTTTGTTAACCATGTTTATATTTGGTGAGGGGGCCGGACAGGGTGAGGCAGGTGCCCTTATATATTATAAAACGTATTAATAATGTAACGTGGTATTTAGATTTAAAATTAATTAAAATTTTAATGTTTCAAAGTTTAAAACAATTATAGGTTAAAGTATTTAGTTAGATTATTTTCTAATATCAATTTGTACTAGCACATATGAAAACAAAACACTTATAGTTTATCAAATATTGATTAACTACCGTTTATATTATTAATCTGTGTTAATAAATAATAATTATTATTATTACCTTTCAATTGTTTTTAAATTTAAATGTCAAATTAATTAGCTTATAAGATTAGTTACTAATAATTTGTAAAAGTAATAAATATTATGTAAAAGTTATATTTACAAAATTTAAAAACAGATTTAATTTACATTACTTATTTTAATTTTTTAAAAATAATTATAAACACAAAATATATTGATTAATAATTAAAAATAAAATTAATTAAATACAAACGATATATTGGTATTTTATTTGAGATAATTTTAATTAAGTAAGACTGATAATTAAACACTTAAACTTGTTTAATCTAATTTATTATTTATATATAGATTTAATAAAGTAAAGTAATTAAAATCTATAATTAATATTATTTTATAATTTAGATAAATTATTATAATAAAATTTTGGTATAAATTCAAATAATTTCTTAATTATAAACTATAATTATGAAATTCTGTTTTATAATACCATGATACATTTATAATAAAATATTGTGTTTAAAAACTATTTTAAATATTAGATATAATTCAGTATATTGTTTTACTAATTGCTTGTTTATTTGTGGTAAGTAAAACTATATTTTTAGTAAATTTATGAAAAGTAAATAATTTATAAAGTTAAATTGTTTATAGAAAAATAAAATTTATAATAAACTAAATTATAATATTTATTATAGGTGTATAATTTAATATAAATTATTTATAACACAAAATAGTTATCAAAGTTATGTAATTAACCAGTTAATCAACATTATCATTATATGTGCATGGTTTAAAATTATACCTGATACATTACATTACATTGTAATGATTACGAAAATACTATAATACACTGGACCTATGCTGCAAACCGGGGGAGGGCGTTTCATTACTAACTGTCCAAGCACAACAACTACGATAGCCTATGACTATGAAAGTGCAAATCGGGAGCAGACTGGTGGTGACAAATCTTTGAACATTTAATTTTTAATTAATATTAAAAATATTTTTAAAAATGCCAATGATTTGTCACTTCTAGTGTGGCCCGAATTGGCCCTTATGATAATCGTAACACAACATTAAAATTAAACCTTGATGCCTTTCTAAATTACGATAATGTAGTTGACCAATGTCATAAACAAGGGGAAGGTGTTTCATTGATAAGTTATCATCAATCACAACAAGAACAGGACTTCCTATCAGACCTATTATTCACAAAACATGAAATCGTAGACCAGGTGTGGATTGAGGCTAAAGTGAGTAACAAGAAAGTGACCTGGGTTGATGGGTCCAAGGATGACTACACTAATTGGCAAACTGGCAAACCCTCCAATTTTACCGATAGTAGCGTACAAATGTAACCGGATGCTCCCAATACTGGTAAATGGGTGGACGAGTATTACCACGACTGGTAAACCTTTGAATTCGGAGATACACTAGAATTCAATTAAATTTTAAATTATTTTTATAATACAATTTTTGTCAGTATTTAATGTTTAGTATATTATTTTATACAGATACTTTGTATACAGTAATTTGCTTATAAATCTTTTAAACAATATTTTTAAGAAATCAATTCATTGATTAGATATTTAAAAGTATGTATATATAACCTAATGAAAGCCTAGTTACTATTTAATGGTGTTTAGTACAGGGGTCGTTGCTGTTAAAATAATGTGTAGACTTACTTTTGAAATAAAATTTAATTACTATAAATATTATTTTAACCTTTTAACTGTTTATTTTAAATTAAACATAATGAAAAATTTGATTAAAAGTACATAAAAACTAATTAATTGTTAATGACTTGAATTCTTGTGTTAATGAAATAATCGCGATATTTATTATAAACCCAAACCCAGAATCGACTCTCAATTAACCAAATGATGAAGTCTTTGCCATTAGTGCCAAACCATAGACCAAACAGTCCTCCAGTATATGACATATAGT